TGGTTTGAAAACAAATGATATTTTTTGAAACTAAAAGTCTAATGGAAATGCATTTGTTGTCACATGAAATGAGTTTCAAATTAAGACTTGCAGTGTATTGCATTAGAAATCATAGGAACTATGCTTTGGTTTGTAATGTCACGAGTTGTAGGAGTTATGCAAAGCAAGCATTCATTGGAAGCGTGTCTTCCGTGAAGAACTCGTTGACAGCGAAGATATGTCGCCGATGGACACGAAATGCATCACTCGTTGCACACATGAGTTCATCGACACAACCATTGGATGACTTGACGTTTGAGCGCATCGTTGACCACACTTTGGATCACTTGACGGAACAGTTGGACACCATTGTAGAGTCAAGTGATGGTCTCGAAGAAAGTGATGTCTCTTTGAACGTATGTATGAATTATATGACAGTGCAGTGAATATACTGTATGTCTATATCTGGTGTCTAATTGTGGACAGAATGGTGTGATTACACTGAATCTGGGATTACATGGCGTTTATGTGATTAACAAACAAACTCCTAATAAACAGATTTGGTTGTCATCTCCTGTCAGGTCTGTCACTCTCACCACTCATTCATTCACTCATTCATTGCTTTGATTAGTGGTCCGAAACGATATGATTATGTAAACGATGAGTGGATTTACAAAAGGGATGGCCTCTCACTCTATAGTCTCCTGAGCTCTGAATTATCTGTCATTTTAAAGCGTGACATCAAATTCAATGAAAAGTTAACTAATGATTAGTTCAACAATTTCTCATTTAGTCAACATTTAGTCCATTAGTTATTTTACTAAATATTTGAAACTTTAATTCATAATACATTCTGTTTAATAAACTGTTGAAACAATCAAAAGAATGTTTTTTATTTAATATAAGTTAGTAATTAATAGAAAACATAAAATTAATTTCATGTAAATTTTATACAAAATCAATTATAAGTTATATAATATTTATTTATAAAATTTATTATTTTAATTAAACCTATTTTAAAAGCAAACAATTTAAAGAATATTTATATAAAATTTAAAATATATAATCAAAAGTTAATAGATATTTAATACAATCTTTAAGATTAGATACGATACACTTAAATATAATTAGACTATGAGATTGGATCTTATAAATCTGGGTTATGACAACAAACCGAAAACCAAGTCAAACCGGATTTAATACGACTTCACTGTTTGTTAGCCGTGACTTTAACAGCCATTATATATACAGTCTCAAACCTCTAAACGTCAATAAATCCATACAACTCTTGTACCGCAAAGAATTATCCGCACAATCATTGGCTGAATTGAATTCTGGTGAGAATTCCTGCGAATTCCACGCAGTCTTACGAAGTGATGGGACGGGAGATCCAGATAACGATGTGCCGTCTCCTAACACACGAGTCGGCGACACATTCATTGGATGCGGACTTAATGGGCAAACCGAGTGATGATAAGACCCACAGTAATGGTCTTCTAAATATGACGGGACTATTGGAGGAACTTTACACAATGGGATCGGATTCTGATTCCAATTATCTGTCGAGACGTTTGTGTCATTACTGAAGTAGAGAGAAGGCGGAGGAAGAGGTAATATACTGGAACAGGCAGTGTCTGGCAGCAGGTCTTGAGCGGCGGCAGCACAGCCACGAAGTCTGTCTCTGTCTCTGTCGGCATTCATAGTGACTCTAAACATGGGTCGTGGTGTCGAGGAATGACTGCGCGCTTCCACAACACTGTAGTTTGTGCTAAAAGATGGTGAAGTGGGCGGAGCCATGGGTATGAGCCCGGTCTCCATTTCGGACACGGAGGGTGTACTTCTTGGCGAAAGTCTGTTACCCATGATCAACATCTCTCCGCCGTAATCACTGATCGGTGGCGTCTCTAATATGGCTGGACTTGAGTTAAGGGGTGCAGCGATTGGACCCGATTTGTTGTTCTTGTGTGAAGCCATTTGAGTGGCACTCGAGTGACAGACTCTTATTATCACAATTAAGGCAATGGTTAGTATAACGACTACAATGAACACGAATCCTATCAACAAATGGTCGCGACTTATGATTATATTCAAGTAATTCATTCCATCGCTCCTCTCGTAGATTCCGATCTCTTCTCTCAAATCACTTAAATTTGATCTAAAGTTATGATCCATTGATTTATGAATCCCTTTATTTCTAATAATATTGACCACCAAAACACCAGAGGCTGTCTGAACGCCGAGTGCTCTAAGTTTGTAGTGAATCACATCCGTTAGCATTTCGTTGGGATAACTCAGGTCTAAATTATTGTTAGCCGTGTTACTCTAGGCTGGGAAATAATACAGAAGTAAACATTTAAGTTACAAACCGTTACTAAACACTCTTAAACATAAAGCGAAGTGAAATAAACTCAAACTCAAACTTCTGAAATGGTTTTGAGGTTTAAAGGGATTCGTTGTGATTGTGAAACTTGGCATTGAATTTGTGATTAAAGCTAATTCACTGAAATGTTAATGATTTTATTGTCAATGATTATAAATTGATTGATTTATAAGTTATACCCCATACCTCGCATCCAAGTGGTCAGTCGTCAGATATGACTTCTGTCCGGGATTTCCAATCAAAAATGGTTTGTTTGCTTTGACCAGTGGTTTGACAGATATGTGAATGGTCACATTCATAATGGCTTTATATACCTGTCCACTATTATCACGCATTATGTCCACAATAAAATAATCGCTGGAAGTCTTGTTTATTTGAATGTATGAAACGAGTAGTGAATTAATATCTTTTTGAGTGAACTTTTCATTAGTTGTTTTATCATTAACTATAATAAAGCCATCAATTGGTCCTTCTTTGATATAATAATGAGATCCGACCCTTTATTATGTCTTCATTTGTAAATTCAATGTTTGGCAATGATTTGTGAGAATTTGTATTTCGCTTCACTTTATTTGAGTTTGAGTTTGAAGACTTTACCAAAACTCCAAATTTAGGATTCGTTGTGATTGTGAAACTTGGCATTGAATTTGTGATTAAAGCTAATTCACTGAAATGTAAATGATTTTATTGTCAATGATTATAAATTGATTTATTTATAAGTTATACCCCATACCTCGCATCCAAGTGGTCAGTCGTCAGATATGACTTCTGTCCGGGATTTCCAATCAAAAATGGTTTGTTTGCTTTGACCAGTGGTTTGACAGATATGTGGATGGTCACATTCATAATGGCTTTATATACCTGTCCACTATTATCACGCATTATGTCCACAATAAAATAATCACTGGAAGTCTTGTTTATTTGAATGTATGAAACGAGTAGTGAATTAATATCTTTTTGAGTGAACTTTTCATTAGTTGTTTTATCATTAACTATAATAAAGCCATCAATTGGTCCTTCTTTGATATAATAGACAATATTTTCTGTTCTAATATTATTACTAATGGTTCCCAAATGTTTTGGTCTAATCTTAGTTTTGATGGAACCCTGAGATAATTGGACAGTCGAGTGATTAAATAGGGTTAGTGTTAATTGCTGGACAACTATAGTCATCGTGTATATGGGTGTGCAGTGATTGGTATCAGTCTTCGACTCATTAACATCACTACAAATAGACTTCTCGTCTTTAATGCGAAATTTGATTTGTTGTTGACTTTGACTATGACTTTGAGATCCGTTGTGTTTAAAAAAGACTTTATTTGAGTCAATTTGAAACTGAGTGAATGAATTAACGGCTTCTTCATTTGGTTCAATCATAAAGAATCCCGAAATTCTCGCCGAAGAGTCTGTTATTAGTTCGTAAATAATATTCTGAGACATCCCATCGTCATCGCTCACTCTTAGTACTGAATTTGATACCAATGTCTTTGAACCATAGATCACATCAATGCGAGGGTTTGTGGTCAATAATACCGGAAATTCATCGTTAACTTAAAATAATTTTAAAAAATTATAAGACAATTATAAAAGTTATACACATTCTGGAAAATACCTGGAATTATATTGACATCAATGGTGTGATTAGTTAACAGAATATCAATTCCATTGCGAATATAAATATTGAAGACAAATGAATCGTTGAATGTATTACTGCTGTCGTGTTTGTAAATCAGAGAATTCTTGGTTAAGGCACTCAACGGAATGCTTTTGATTCTTGTGCTCAAGTCGTGTCCCTCATAAAGTACTACTCCGTGATAAGGCTTTCGCAATATTTTAATGAATAGTTTCTCAATCATTCTTGTGTTCAACTCTTTCTGTTGCCAATTCTTAATGAGTTTAGAGATATTTAGATTCTTTTCAGATATGACAGCAAATTGTCCCTCAATTACAGTTAATGGCATGACATCAATGAGGGTAAACACATCAGTGGTCATCTCTTGACCAGAGTTCCCAACGGCTATCTCCACCACAAACTGAACCCCTTTAAGTGTTTGAACGAAATGCGATTCGATGTCCAATAAAATCTCGTCTTCGACTAAAATATCGTTTATGGGTTTGTTTTGTTCGTAAAGAATAAAGTTTTGATTGATTTGTTTTTGAGTAAAAGAAAGCACAGGTTTTGTAGAGCCGTCAGAATTCTCTAACAAGAATCGACCAAATTTTGGCTCTTTTATGACATGATATATAAACTGTCGGTTAAGGTCTGCGTCGTTGGTCTCCACTAAGAGGTGATCTCTGGTCACCGACTGTTGCATTCGTGGAAAGACATATAATTTTTTGTTTACCACAACAGAAATGGCAACTGATTTGGCGGTGACTGTGAAGACGTGCGGGGAATCAAAGTTAGTTCCGTCAGTCACTTGAAACCTGAAACCTCCGGCCAGTTCCCCGCTGTGGACATACATTATAAGTCCGGAATCGATCTGTATTTGAGTGAATCTCTCGATTGGTGTCTGTTTGTTGTCAATCGTGGTTACATAACCATTGCTTGGGGTAGAGATTTGATAAACGATGTCTTCAGTGACCGAGTCATCATCGACTGAAGCCAACTGGGAGTTAGTGATGACAGCACTGGTTCCCTCCCAGAGCTCTAACCCCGTGTTGTTCACCACATGTGGTGTCTCATCATTAATGGGTTCTATAATCACGTGAATAGTTGCCGGAAGACTCTCTTTGTTCAATGAGTTGGCTCTGACCACAATTGTCAGCCAATCTCTTGTCGTTTCTGAACCGTTGTGTTCATACCATATCTGATTGTTCTTCAGTTGTTTCGGTGTAAATGTTTTTGTGCTCTTTTTCTCTTCATTTTCATTAATGCAAACAATTCTTCCAAACTTTGATTCTTCGATAATCAGATATTCATCGATCAAATTGGCGTAAAAGTCATTGGAAACTATAAAGTCCTCATTATTTAAGACAACACTCTGGCCTTCGGTGACAGTTATGTTCACCGTTTGCACTATAATTATCTTTGAAATTATATTTATATAGACAGTGAGATCACGTAAAGTCGTGATACCATTAGAGACATCAAATCTAAAGTAATCGATGTGTGAGTTATTTCTTATCTCATTATCAATTTGTGTGTATTTATAATGAATTAAGCCGTCGTTAATGTCTTTCTGAGTGAACAAAAGCAAAGTTTCATTTCTGTGCGAACCCTTATTCTGTGAATTCTTTGATGGAAAATGCATCGGAACTGGAGTTGTATTGTGTGTCAAGAGTGATAAAGAGCCTAATTTAGGCAATTGAGTGATCATATACACTATATTCTCGGCTTGTAATGTCTGGTGACTCACTAACAAGTGAGACGAGTCTATGGCCACAAACTTGTCCTCATCTGCAGATATATTCTTCA